TCAATTTCTGATAGACCCTTTTTTCAGCAAAGCTTTGAAATTGCAAAATTATTCGAGGTGAGTGTTATGATATCAGAACCTTTATTTATAGAGACTACAGGAAGAAATTCAGTTGCATGTAAATTATTTCTTAACCTTTCTTCAGTCTGTAACTCTGATTGTTTAATTCAACTTCAAGTTCTTTATAATGGAAATAGTTGGTAATAAACTTTTGAAGTTACAAAAACTTCTTCCTTAGCTTTGGAGGTATATTCTTCATCTTCTTTAAGTCTAACAAAATTTATACTGAGAGGTCTTAGTACAATTCGAGTTAGAGAGTTGTTTTGGATTCTTTGAAGCAGATTTCTTCTTTTGCTCATATATTCTTGAGCTATATGTCTAGCTTTCCTACAATTATAACATATAAATTGGAAACCAGAGTTATTATTTTTATTATTATTGTAGATTAAGTGGGGTCATAGAGTATTTGTTTTGACTTAAGCAGTGAGAGAGATGATTAGTTTTTTGTAATTAGTAGTCATCAACTGCATCTGTTTATTTAATTTGTCTATATTGTTTTCTAAATATTCTTTTTCTTTTTTTTAATGGTTTTTTTCTTAATAATATCCTCTGGCTTTGGTTTTTTCGAGCACTTTTTATCACTTGTTCTAATATTAGAGATTCTGTGATACTTAATCATGATACAATCTTTGATTTCAAACCTTCTAAAAATATGCATACTACGTATAGTTGCAGTAATTGATTTTTTGGAGTTGACTCCTCGAAGGAGTTTTCAAAATTTGTAGGAATATGAGTTGATATATTTGTTTTCCTTTTGGATGAAGGAGTTAAGGTCTACCTACTACTTGTGGCAATATTCAAAGGTAGCGAAATATTATATGAAAGAGGAATGAAGCTTACATCAGAGTTATATTCGTTATCCCAATATTTGAGGTTATCTTTAATTCCAATATACCAACTAGTAGCAACACAACAGAGGTTGCCAGAGGCTATCTTTATTTTTCATTCACAAGACTAATTGTTGGCATTGGCAGTACAGTCAAAGGTTTTGATTTATTCGACAGGATCTTTATCTTCTTTAACTCTGAAAATTTCAACTGTAACAAGATTAGTCTCTCTTCTGAGTGAGCAGATAGCAGTGGCAACTCCAGCTGTAGCTTTTTAAAAAGTAGTGGCAATTTCTCTTAGGATAGCTTGGAGAAGTTCTAAGTTCT